TATATATATATATATATATATATATATATATATATATATATAGATATATATATATATATATATATATATATATATATATATATATATATATATATATATATATATATATATATATATATATATATATATATATATATATATATATATATATATATATATATATATATATATATATATATATATATATATATATATATATATATATATATATATATATATATATATATATATATATATATATATATATATATATATATATATATATATATATATATATATATATATATATATAAAGTTTGTAATTAAATATCTTGATTTTTCACAGAAAACTGCTGTTTAGTTATGAGTAAATGAGATCGTTATAAACTATATTTGATTCATATTAACATTTTGAAAATTGACTATATTTTGGATTATTCAGCACACATTAATTTGAGTCTCTTGAACATCAGCATACTGCAATTTTGGCACGAATGTTCATTCATTCATTCATTCATTTTCTTATCAGCTTATTCCCTTTATTAATCTGGGGTCGCCACAGTGGAATGAACCGCCAACTTATCCAGCACGTTTTTACACAGCGGATGCCCTTCTAGCCGCAACCCATTGCTGGGAAATGCAATTTTGGCATGAACATATTTCAAAAAATGTATTTTCTGTTCACTTCCACACAACATGCATGAGATTTAAAACTATTGAATGTAAAATGACTTCATGTAGTTGTTTAATAATAACCTTGTGCTTTTTCTTTTAGGTAAGCTGGGTGGTCAGGACTCGTTTGAGAGCATCGACAGTTTCGAGAGCTGCGACAGACTCACGCAGTCGTGGAGCAGTCAGTCGTCCTTCAACAGCCTTCAGAGAGTCCCGTCCTATGACAGCTTCGACTCGGAGGATTACCCCAATGCTCTGCATGCGCACAAACCCAAGGGCACGTTTAAAGACTACGTGCGGGAACGCTCGGACCTGAGCAAAGACAAACCGGTCATCCCTGCAGCGGCTCTCGCTGGATACACAGGTCAGCTTAACACTTGACCCGGTCTACGCTGAATATCCTGACATTTTTTTGCTGTTTCTACACAGAATTTTGAACAAAATCCATTGTTTTGTGCAGAATTATTTTGAGAGCTACGAAATAATTTTGAGAATTATTTAAAATAAGCTGAAACAATTTTTGAGATTTTTTTTTTGACAACTTAGTCATTTTAAGTTCAATCCACTTTAAGTTGTTAAGTTAACTGATTTGTGTTGGGACAACATGAATTAATTGTATGGAACAATGCTGGTTTCCACACAATTTCTTCATGTTATCCCAACACAAATCAGTTAGTTTAACTTAATTGTTTTTACAAATTTAAGTGAATTGTACATGAAATAATTACGTTGACCCATAAAAACACTTAAGAATTGCATGGTTTCAGCTCATTTTAAGTATTTTAAACAAGCAGCAAAGTCATTTATTGAGTGAAGCAATCAAAACATGAAATAAAGAAACACATAATACAGGAACTTTTTAACTTTTATTTAGGTTTACGATGCAAATCCAGTTAGATTAACTTGTTTGGTAAACAAAGCATTTCCCTCATATAATATATCTAAAAATATTTTCTTACAATGCACAAAGAAAAAAATAAATAAATAATGCAAATAAAATAAATGTAACATATTTTTAATTTCAGTTTCATTTATAAATTCATAAAAAATGATTGGTCCCTAAATATAAATCACAATTTAGATTGATGAAAGTAAATAGTTTTTGGGTAAAAAAAAAAAAAATAAAAAAATAAATAAAAAAAAAAAAATATATATATATATATATATATATATATATATATATATATATATATATATATATATATATATATATATATATATATATATATATATATATATATATATATATATATATATATATATATATATATATATATATATATATATATATATATATATATATATATATATATATATATATATATATATATATATATATATATATATATATATATATATATATATATATATATATATATATATATATATATATATATATATATATATATATATATATATATATATATATATATATATATATATATATAT